GGTCGTGTGCTAAGGGTAACTTTATAAGGCGCTTCTGGGTGGTTCTGCCGGGCGCCCGCGCCGCGCTGCGTTCTCACCAGCTGCGGACGAGTGTTCCGGTTGCTCCGCATCCTCGCCAGCCCTGGGGATGCTCAGGGTTTCCAGCTTAGCCGTTCTGATAGGTCGTGGTTGACTTTCCATTTTTCTAATGGCTGATGATGTTGAGCGTCTTTTCAGGTGCTAATTTGCCATCGGTATATTGTCTGGTGAAATGTCTGTTCTGATCTTTTGCCCGTTTTTAAAATTGCGTTGCTCGTTTTCTTTCTGTCAAGTTTTGAGAGTGCTCCCTAGATTTTTGATCCGAATCCTCCATCACATATGTGTTTGCGAACCTCTTCCCCGTCTGCAGGCAGCTTGTCTTTTCATCTCGCAGACAGGAGGTTTTCATTTTGATGAAGTCCAGTTTATCAATTAATTCTTTACGGGTTGTGCTTTTGGAGTCTGAACCCAAGATCCCAAAGATTTTCTTCTAAAAGCTTACATTTTGTTTTACACTTAGGTCTGCGAGCCATTTTTGTTCATGTTTGCATGAGGTGTGTGGTTCAGACCCGGGGGTTTGGGTTTGGGTTTTCCTGGGTATGACTGGTTACTCGGCACCCTGTGTCCTACAGGCTGTCGCTTCCTCCCCGGAGTGGCGTGTGCCCCTTTGTCCCGGATCCCCCGGGCGTGTTTGCGGGTCTGTCGCTGGCCGGACACTGTGTCTCCGTGGCCTGTGCCCACAGGCTCCATCACGACAGCTTAGGGCAAGTCCGTCAGATAGTGTGACTCAGCACTTTTCTTTCCGTTTGGTTTTAAGTTCTCTTTTTCTATATAATTAGGGCGAGGGTTCATTTTCTTATTCTGCCACCTGTTTAACAAATGGCACATCTTTTTCTGGAGTGGACATCACGTCTCTCTCCCCCCTTCCCCGCCTTCAGCAGGGCTGCCCCGTAAGGTGACCAGGGTGGCGCCGTCCTACGGGTGGCTGCTCTCGTTTTGGGGGCTCCCAAGGGCGGCGGGCGGCTGCCTGTGCTGCTCCAGGGTCTCACCCGGGCGATTCCCGGAGACACACTGTGCCTCTAGGAACGGGAACGGGGTTCGCCATTTGGGGCCTCCTGACTCGGCAGTGTCCTGTGGGCCGGGGCCTTGGCGGGTTTTCCCTTGGGAGAGGGTCCAGGTTCTGAGTCGTTGAGCCCTGGGAGGTTGGGAAAGTTTGGGGGCTGAGGCAGCACAACCCTCCTGGTTTCCCTCCAGCCCCATGTCGCCTGCTCCTTCTTCCTTTCATTCTTTTAAAAAAACTTTTTATTGTGGTAGAATGTACGTAAAATAAAATTTACCTTTATAACCATTTTTAAGTGCACGGTTCAGTGGCATTAGATGCCATCCATCTCCAGGACTTTCTCATCTTCCCAGACTGAAACTCTGTCCCCATGAAACGGTCATGTTGGTTGGGTTCGTGCAGGGTCACCGAGGGAGGGAGCCTCGGGGCCTTGAAGGCACACCGGGGCCCTTCTGGATCCCCAGTCGGAGGCCCAGAAGAGTCCACGGTTGGTTTTTCTTCGGCCGGTGTGGTCTGAGGGCAACTTCGCCTCCCTGGTTGCTGCTGCCTCCAGATTAGCTACTGTTCCGGATCTTTCCATCGTGACCTTTCTGACCGTGACTCACGTTTCCTACGTGGAGAACAGTCACTCACCTGTCATGCGAACAGCTGATAGCTCCCTTGCGTACTTCTCCAAATTTCACCGTGCCAAGATATTTGGAGCCTGCAGTCCTGGAAACCACAGTTGCTGCTGGTGACAGCAGTGCCGGAGCTGGTGAAGGTGGCAGCCCTTCCACGGTGGCCGGTGGCAACAAGAGGCCAGCGAGTCCCCGGCGCTCAGGGCACCTGGGTGTGATCCGCAGGGTCTCTGCAGGCTGCCACGCCCCTGCCCACAGCCCACCAAAGAGCCCCCAGCCCCCTCGAGACCAGGCTCTGGAGTGACCCGTCCAGAGGCCACCAGGGACTGGCGAGCAGCCCCGTCCCTGTGCCCTGTGATGAGCTCTCCGAGATTTCCAGAAGCTGGTTGTACTTCGGGCACCCCACCCCCCGCCTTTCCCCTGGAAGGGGGAGCCCTTGGAGCTCAGCCCCAGGCCTCGGTGGGTAACTTGGGGCCCAGGGAAGGGATGCGGGGTGTGAAGAAATTCAGGGCACCTTTCCAAATGGGGGTCTTTTTAGCTGGTGCGGCACCCGGCACGTGACAAAGCAGGAATGGAAGAGGCCCTCCTGGTTGCCCAGGTTCTGACAGTCTCTGGCTCTTGGGGGCCAGGCTGGGGCGGGGGTGGGGGGGTGGGGTGGGGGGGCGGCCTGCGCAGCGCAAACGACTTCTGTTTAGAGAAACCTCACGGGACGCAGAGTTGTGGATGGAGATGATTTCTGCTGGTGAGCGCTCTTTATGTAAATGCCACGGCGCCAGCGTTGGCGCTCCCGCGTCTGCGGGTGTAATCCCAGCCGGCTGGGGGGCGGGGGCGGGTAATTATGTTTTAAAATATCATCTGGCTTGTTTTTCCTGTGCTCCCGAGCCCCCGGGTACTCCAGGTTTGGAAGATTCTCCTTGCTCTCTGCTGATCTGCCCCTGCCCTCGTTCCCCAAATTCGCCTGCTGGGAAATGCCCCTCACCCCCCAACCCCCACCCCCACCCAGTGGCCACCGCTGACTACTGCCCAGGTCTGTGCGGTGGCCTCGACCATGGGGCTGCTCACTTGGGAAAACTCCCTCTCTCACCCTGGGATTTGGCTGTGGCCAGACTGAAGGCACAGCGTGCCGGCCTCATCCTGTGCTGACTGGCGGTGTCTGCCCGGAAAGGGGCTGAGCCCCAAGGGGACAGGGTGGAGGGGTGTCCTGGGGGTCCCTGATGGAGATTTGGGTGACTCCAGAGTGGGCGATTCCAGACCCGGTTGGGGGGCAGGTCCAGAGCAGCAGGGGGACTCTGCACCCCGACCCTGACCTCAGGACTGGAACCACCAACCTGCCTTCTCCTGGGGGACTCTCCTGTGGGTTTTGGATGCTGGCCTTCCAGGGGGTCCCCTTTCCCTCCCCCACGGGAGCTTAGTGTGAAGACAATTTGGGGCTCATTCATGCTCAGGCTACTCCAGGTTCTGGGGGTCTGAGGCGCGTAAGGGCAGGGTCTGCCCAGGACCCTTCTTTGCCCGCCCCCCTGCTGAAGCCCCTTTACCGCAGCCTCACCCCGTGTGGCCTGCCACGCCTGGCCTCCCCAGGCTCAGGTGCCTCTGCTGAATTTTCCTGTGACCCCTGAGGGGATGTCACAGTGCAAAGGGGACAGCTGGCCAGCTGGAGGAGCAGGTTAAGCCCAGCCCTGCCCTCTGGGTGTCTATCTGAATTCCGGAAGTTTCTGTAAGCCACCCGCTCCTGCCTGCCCAATGTCCACTAAGGCTGCTGAGGAAAACCACTGTCCTTGGCAAGGAAGACCCCACCCTGAGCGTCCATCTGTGCAGCCTGAGGGACTTTCCCACAGGTAGAGCCTGCCCTTGTTTCCGGGTGGGTGAGGAGGGACGGGCCCTCTGGCCTTTACCTGCAGGCCTGGCTGCTCAGCCAGGTGTGCAAGGGGAGACCCCCGAGCAGCTGTGATTTCTCAATGATGACAACTTGCTGAGGGCAGACCGCCCTGGGGCAGGGGGCGTGGTGATCCAGAATTGCGTATGTGCTGGGGGCACGGGGATGCGGGCGGCAGGGCCCTGTCCTCCCCTCTGTCTGGGCAGGGCAAGGAGTGCTAGACTGGTGCTGCGTGCGCCCTGAAGGGGGAGGCTGGGGAAGCTGCCCCTGCTGACCCTGTGGGGAGGGGGGCGTGGGGGGCTGCAGGGCTGCCAGTGCCCATGGGAAGATGCGGAGGGTCACAGGGACATGGGGGAGGGGCAGGGCAGGACTTGGGGGTGCACAGCTTGGCCGGGTGCTCTCCACTGTGGGAGCCTCCATGTGGTGTCTGCCCCCTCCTGGCCTGGCTGCCTGCTGAGTCCCCTGGTGGGCACTCTGAGGACAACAGGCAGGCCCACACTCCTCTCGGCACTCCCCTGTGCCTTCTGGCACCTGGCACAGCAGTGGGCGTGATGGACACCCAGCAAGTGCCCCACCGCCTCTCTGAGCCCTGGGGGGAGCCCTATCCCGGCTGCAAGAGACCTGCCGGAGGCCTGTGGCCAGGCCAGGCCCGGCCCGGGTGGGCAATCAAGAGGGCCAGGCAGTCATCTGCTTGATGTCTGGCCTGTGGTGCAGGTTGGGGACGGCAGAGGGGGCCTCACTTCCTCCTCCACCCCTGTCCTCATCGCAGCTGCAGGTCTGGCATGCTGAGGGGTCCCTGACTGTCCCCCGAGCAGTGGTTTGTCAGGAGCATTCCCAGACGGCACGAAGGGCTGGAGCCAGCCGGCGGAGACACCATGTCTGCCCTGCCGGCTCTGCCACTGCCTGGCTTCACTGCTGGCAAATATTTATGGAGCTGCTGCCCGGCCAGGCCTACATGGTTCGGCCTCTGGGGAGGTGCCCACTCACGGGGGGCCACGTCCCACCTGTGGAGGCCGTGCTATGAGAAGCAGGCTGGGGGACAGTCTGGGGCCTGCTTTCTCCCAGCTTCCACTCCATCAGCAGAGGTTGCCCCTCCCCCCGCCTGCCCTCCATCTCCATTGCACAGGCTGCTCTCTTTCCTGTCCGCCCCTCCGCCCCAAGCCCTCCTTCCTACATGACCTGCAGGCCTCTGCTTGGTGCCTGCAGGGCCCCGAGCGGCCTGGACCTGGGTGGGTGTCCCTCGTCTGCCTTCCTCTGCTCCTTTGTTCGCTCTGGTCCTCCCTGCAGAGGCAGGACCAGGTGGGCAGGGAGGACGAGGAGGGCAGAGCAGGTCTGACTGCTGCCTGGGTGGGCCGGAAGGATGTCCTCCCCTCTCCATCCCTGCCCCTGGCTCCCCGGGGACGCCCTAACCCGGTGGGTTCTGTGCCCACAGTGCAAGAGAAGCCAGAGCCAGTGCCGCTGGAGAGCCGCTCCTGTGTCCTCATCCGCCGCGACCTGGTGGCCCTGCCCGCCAGCCTCATCAGCCAGATCGGGTACCGCTGCCACCCCAAGCTGTACTCCGAGGGGGACCCCGGTGAGAAGCTGGAGCTGGTGGCAGGTGAGGCTGGCTCCCCACCCCGTCTATTGTATGCAGATGCTTTGCGTTTATTTTTTTCTTTAGAGCTATGAACAATGTACTCATCACCAATCAGTCAAAAAAAGATAGAACATCTTAAATTTCCTCTAATTTCCTTTTAGAAGAATGTGTCATTAAGAGGAGTTATTCAATTGAATTAATTTAGCATTTTAATTGAATCCCCTGGGCTGGTCGCGCTTCTGATTGGTGGGGGCTGCAATCATGATTGTGTTTTAGTTTGAGTTGCAGATGAAACCAAGTCGAACCTAGTTTACTAGGCTCCCTCACCCGCCCCGGCGCCCTGAGTGTCCACTTGCAGCATCTGGGATAATGACCGGAGGTTCCGAACGGCAGCTCACAGAAATGGGATTCTGTGAAAACAGCACGATTGAGTCCAAAAGCCCATTAGGGCCGGGTGCCTTTGAGAAATATTTATCTTCTAGGCGTTGGGATGCATTCAGCCCCACAGCTCCTCATGGGTCTGTAAGGCCGTTCCTTGGAGGGTGAAAAGCAATGGTGCCAGCATCCTGGCTGCTGGACCTGGAGCCTTTCTCCAGGAGCCCCTTCCCTTGGTTCTCCAAGGGCGTCCCAGTCACGGGCTGGCCAGGACCCAGGCCCCTTCCCTCCTGCTCAGTGCTCTGAGCAGTTGCTTCGCGAGCCGCTGAGCCCCTGCTGCTGTCTGGCGCTCCCAGCCGCCACACCCTGGGCAGCATCGTGGATTCTGCCCGAGCTGTCCCCTCTGTTGGGAACCCCCACCGCAGAGGGCGGCTTCAGAGCTGGGTGCAGGTGGGTGGCCTCACCTTTCAGCCGGCAGGACAGCAGCCAGGTGGTGGTGGCTGGTCTGGCCAGGCCAGGCTGGGTAGGGGCCCGGTGGGCAGTGCCCTGAGCCACCTACAGGCCGTCACTGTTGTGGGCAGTTTTGCTCAGAGAGGGCCAGTGTCAGCCTGTGATGGATGGCAAGAGCCAGGCTGGGGCCTGGGGCTGGGTTCCCAGGCTGAGGGGCTCATCAGATGCGCTCATTCCCAGGGGAGGCCTTGAAGGAAGGGCTAGCCGCCTTCCCTGGCCTGGCCCACAGCCGGATGTCAGGTTGCCACGCCCCACTGGGCCCCAGGCCCCCTTTACAGATCTCCCTACAACGAGGGGCTGTCCAGCTGTATGGCTGGGGGTGGCCTGCTCTGCTGTTAGGTGTGCGGCTCTGCAGACGTGCAATGGGTGCACATGGGGACCTCAGGGATGCCTGCACGTCATGGGTGGGGGCTGCAGACCACAGTGACCAGATGATGGAGGTGGTGGTCTCCCTCCAGGATCACCCATGCGCTTGTTTAACCAAAGCTGCCAGCAGGGAGGGCCTCCCTGAAGCCTGAGTGGCAGCCTTTACAGGGGCAGAGCCAGCCCGGAGGCTGCCGAGCCAGGGGTCCCACAGATAGGAGCCCTGACCCCAGGAAAGGAGCTGGCCTTGTCCTTGTCTTTCCCCAGTAAGATTCAGCACATGCTCTATAAAAATAGACCGTGGAAAAAGGCCCAAATGAGCCCGTGGAGGTTCCCCAGAGCCCTCAGAGACCCGGGGCATTGGCACATTCCCTTCAGTGGCTTTCACACCATTTCTTCTCCGAAGTTGGGCACCATCTGACTGTTGCGTCAGCTCCTTTTCCATTGGCAACATGCAGTGTCAGGAGGCCTCCCCCTGCTCCTGGCGAGTCTGAGCCTGCAGCCGGCTCAGTCCTTGTTCACCTGGGCCTGGTGGGGCCCCCTGGCCTTGCCAGGCTACCATGCAGGCTCGCTGGTCACACTCTGCCCTGGGCTGGCTCTTCCCAGCGCACCTGGAGGAGGGCAGTGCTGGCCAGGGGAAGCCCCAGCCAGGCCTCCGTAGTTCCAGCTCCCCATCCCTTGGTATTTGGGGAAGGGACCAAAAGACAAGATCGAGTGTTTCCCAAACCGAGCGAGGGAATTCCCTTGAGGCTGGAAGGGTAGTTTGGGGACAGCCCTTTGAAGCATGTGACCGTGGCTGCTTCCTCCTGGTGACGGGGCCTCAGCACAGCAGAGAAGGCCTGGAGCCACAACCCCCGGCCCTGTGGGGTCCCAGGCTTGGATGGGGGCCTGGGAGGTGGCCCTGGCACGTCCCGGGGTCCCGCTCTACGTCGGGAAGACTTTGCGCTGCTCCCATCCTTTCTGGCACCCCTCACCCCCACCGGATGCCTGTTCTGGCCCGACAGCCCCCGGGAAGGTCAGGGCCCTGGGTTTTGGGGGGAAGCCCAGGGCCTCACTCTCACATCTGGCGGCTGCAGGCTCCGGGGTCTACATCACGCGCGGCCAGCTGATGAACTGTCACCTGTGCGCTGGCGTGAAGCACAAGGTGCTGCTGCGGCGGCTCCTGGCCACCTTCTTTGACAGGTAGGGCCCTCAGCGGTGCGGAAGCTTCTAGAGTCTGCATCAGCGGTGAGCCGTCCGGTCTTGAGGCCCCACGCCTTCCTGACTTCAGCCCGCAGGGTCGGCCCGAGGCCCGTCCAGGCCCCAGGAAGGGGGCGAGTCCCCCTGGACAGGACCTGTGTCTGGGGAGGGCCGGGCTCTCCTGGCGTTTCCAGGAAGGCTTGTGGACGCCCCCCTCGCTCCCCCATAGAGTGAAGAACCCCACTGGCTCAGCTTCGTGGGTGGGTCACAGGAGCCCCTTCCCTGTGGTGGAGCGCCCCGCCCAGATCACCCAGGGCACTTTCCTTCCTCCTGCCCCTCGGAGGGCGGTGGGGCCCGCTCCCCACCACTGCACCCCAGCCCTGGGAGATAAACACAGTCCAGGGTGAGGCGGGTGGCCTCCCTGCCCGGTGGGCTTTCCGCTCCTCTGTCCTGGCGTGTGGGCAGGGGAGGCCCATTCCCGCGGGTCACCCCCGGCCGGCAGCCTCACTCTGCCTCCTTCCCATCCTCCACCAGGAACACGCTGGCCAACAGCTGTGGCACGGGCATCCGTTCGTCCACCAGTGACCCCAGCCGCAAGCCTCTGGACAGCCGAGTCCTGAACGCTGTGAAATGTAAGAGGGGCTGGGGTCTCCAGGGCGGGGCGTCTCCAGGAGCTTCTGCCCCTGGCGCCAGGCTGGGCCTGCGGGGTCAAGGGGAGAGAGAGAAGAGCGGCTCTCAGAAGCCAGGTCTCGAGGTGCTAACGCTCTTGGTAGGTTTCCAGGCGTGATGAATTCAGCTGCGAAACTATTTTAATATGTGAAATAGATCTAATTTTCCTTTTGGAACAAAACCCCTTATTTACATTTTGAGGTTATTTTGAGCCTTTGCCATCTGCTCCGCCGGCTTCTGCCTCCCGCTGCTGGGCGCGTGGGGGTGGAGCCCGGTCCATCTCCGTGGCAGACCGCCACCCCCATCCTCGCACCCCCAGACTCGGAAGAAGCCCACCGGTGCCCAGCGTGGGCCCGACTGCACCAGAGCACGTCCTCCTGTAGCCATCGGCACACGGAACTGTGTCTTATTTCCCTTCTTAAAAAACATCTCTTGTGAGCCTAGTTCTGTTTTAGAGCCGAGGGGCCTTTGCAGTCAGTAATTACAGTCCCAAAGCCTGGTGTGCCAGTGGGGGTTCCGGGAAGATGCTGGAAGGGAGTTGCTGATGCTGCCCCGTAGCAGGGCTCGTGGTGCGGGGGGCTCGCCCTGGGGGACCTGCCTCCAGGTTTCCTGCTGCTCGGAGAGCTGGGTCTCATGGCTCCGGGTGGAGAAAGCAGAGGGTTTCTATTATTAATGATGATGACGATGACGCCCATTGCTGCTCGCCAAGTTGGGCTGAGGACGGGGACGAGGAGAAGTATTGACCGGCTCCTTCCTCACTCCTTGTCCAGCCTGTGAGGAGGAGCCTATGTCAGGCCTGGAGAGGCCCTAGCCTCACAGTGGGCAGCCGCCCAGGGCTGCTTGAGCCCAGCGCCCTGCCCTGACACCCACTCCGGCCAGGGCCGGGATGTCTATCAGGCCCTCAGATCTGGGTGGGTGAGACAGAGAGGGAAAGTGAGGCCCAGAGGTGCTAAGGGGCTTGCCCAAGGCCACACAGCCAGCCAGTGCTCAAGGAGGCGTCAGACCCCCGGGCCCTGTGCTCACACTGGAGCCACAGCCACGCTGATGTCCCTCCCCTGAATGTTCCAGCCAGAGACTGTCCCAGAAGAGCCTGGCGGTGAGTCTGTGACAGTGGTGAGAAGGGGACCTCTGGTCTGTTCAAGCTGAGGCCAGGAGAGGCCTGGGTGGCCATGTGGTCTCCTCTGTCAGTGGGGAGTAGGACGGATAGTCCCTGGAGGCCAGCCAGTGTCCCTGTCCCCACTGGCCCAGGAGTGGCTGGTCTGGCGCATGGTGCTGTGACCCCGGGTTCGTCCAGGGTGTCCTGGTTCCATGGCCCCTCGGGAGGTTCGGGGTCAGCAGTGGTGGAATTGCTGCTGGGCGGGGGGCAGGGGGGACCACCCTCACGCCTGCCTCGCCACGCCCTGTCCTTGCAGTGTACTGTCAGAACTTCGCACCCAGCTTCAAGGAGAGTGAGATGAATGTGATTGCCGCGGACATGTGCACCAATGCCCGCCGGGTCCGAAAGCGCTGGCTGCCCAAGATCAAGTCCATGCTGCCCGAGGGCGTGGAGATGTACCGCACGGTCATGGGCTCCTCGGCCGCCGGCGTGCCCCTCGACCCCGAGTTCCCGCCCGCTGCGGCACAGGTGTTCGAGCAGCGTATCTATGCCGAGCGCCGCGGGGATGCCGCCACCATCGTGGCCCTGAGAACTGATGCCGTGAATGTCGACCTGGGCGCCGCCAACCCCGCCTTCGAGGCCAGCGAGGAGGCGGACGGGGCCGGCTCCGTCATCCAGGAGGTGGCCGCGCCCGAGCCGCTGCCCGCCGATGGCCAGAGCCCCGGGCAGCCCTTCGAGCAGGGCAGCGCCAGCTCCAGCCGGCCCGCGACGCCGGCGGCCAGGAGACAAGAGGGCTCCTACGCGGGGACCTTGTAGAGGCCAGGAGACGCTCAAGGGACCGGTACTAGAGCTGCTTGCATGCGTTACTAATACGACAAATGTGATCAAGCCACTTACCTACTGAACTGCTACTGTTGCCTGAACAAAATGTGATTTTTATTCTGCTTGTATTTAAAGTTGATGAAGGAGACAAATGCATTCATTATACTGTAAACGGTTAGGCCCCTGCGACCCTGTGCGAGAGGTCCCAGGGCTGTTTTTGATACTCGAGAGTTTAGTCGCCTGCCCCTTCTGGGGGGGCAGGGGCGAGAGGCCCTGGTGCCCCCCTCTGCCCACACCCCTTGTCCTTCCTGCTCCCTCTGCCCCAGGGGACGAAGCCTGAGGCCGGCAGAGTGGGGGCATGTGACACCGTTCCTTGCCCACCAGGACTCTGCCCACCCCGCTGGGGCCACGGGCCAGGGCTGGGCACCCAAGGGCCAAACACCTCTTGTTTTTCCTTCTTCCTGAGACTTGGGGGTCAGGCCTGCCGGGTCCACCATGCGTGTGGGGTGTGGGTGTGGGTGTGGGGAGTGTGTGTGTGTGTGTGTGTGTGTGTGTGTGTGTGAGAGAGCATGTGCAGGGGGCATGGTGAGGGCCCAGCGATGGGCCTTGCCAGTCACTGGGTGCAGAAAGTGTTCTTGGCTGTACCTGTGCTCTGCCCCACAGCCTTGGGGTCTGCCCACCACCCGCAGCTCTTGGGCCACCAGCCCTGAGTACCCGCTGGCCCCCACCTGGCCACCCGCCGTCTGAGGGGTGAGGCCGCCCCCGGTGCAGCCCTCAGCCACGCTGGGATTCTGTCTGTTTATGTTTTCGTCTTAATTCAGATCTATTTCATATATGGTTTGGAAACTTTCAGACCCAAAAGAGCAAAAAATTAGGGAGGATGGGGTGTCCCTGCCCCCCAACCCACTGTGGCTTGGGGGTGCATCATCTGTATACCATGTCCCCCACCCCCGTCAGGTCCCACTCACCTCCTGTTGGGGGTGGGGGTCCCAGGGGAGTACAGCAGGTTGTGTGACTGGTGGAGACAGAGGCCACGTGAGAGCTGGCCTGGGGGGCTCCCTCGGTGCGGGCCCCCCCGAATTGTGCTCCAAGCCCTCGGGATGCACCTCTGAGACTGCGGGTGGGGGGCCGTGGTCGCAGGACTGAGCTGGGCCGGTTAGCATGGGGCTGGCAGGAGCAGCCACAGGTGGGGAGGTTCTGGACTGCATGGCTGGGGCAGCAAGGAAGGGCCACGGAGGTTGTCGTTGTGTTTGAGGCTGGTATGCTTACTCTGAAGTTTAGTTGCTGGTTTTTGGGGAGAGGGGCACAGGTTGTCCAAAGTGGCTGCTCGTCCAGGGGCTGCCTTGCTCCCGAGTCCCAGGCAGCCCCAGGCGTGGTCAGAGACACCGCCTCCACTCCCAGGCTTGAGGGAGTTGTTGCTGCTTCCCTTTGTCCCTAGTGCTGAGCAAGCCCCTCCACCCTGTGCGCACAGGGCCCAGCAGGTGTGGCTCAGCCCCGCCCATGCCCCACAAAGCTGAGCCTCCGCCAGCTGCAGGGCCTCCCGCGGGGCCCAGTGTGGGGCAGCCTGGGGGTGCTTAGGCCCTTCCCTCTCGGGCTCTCGTTCCTGCTGACCGCTGCCCTTCGCTGTGTGGGAGAGACCTCCGATGGGGTGGCGGCTGCCTCCCAGATGGCACTCGGCCTCCCTGGCCTCCTCCAGCCAGGCCAAGCATGTGCCTGCCCTCCAGAAGGATCTGATGGCTTCCGGAAAGGAGTGGGGGGACTCGAGGTGGGCCCGTGCGGGCTAATCTTGGCCCCGGTACCCGCCCCTCCCTGCCCCAGTGTAGGGAGGTCCAAGCCCTAGGGTCCTGGGCCTGAAGGGCTCAGGTCTCCAGCTCCTGCTCGGGCCTCCAGCCAACCATGTGGCCCAGAGCTGGCCTCTCCCTGCCTCTTCCCTCCCATCTCAGCCCAGGTGGGGCTGGAGCTCACACAGCCGGGGCCCCACAGCCCACTAGGGACCAGGACCGGGTCCTCCTGGAATTGGGAGGGGGCCGTGGGGTGGGGGATGTTCTGGCGGGGAGGCTGACCCCACCCATCTCCTCTCTGAGTTTCCCTTCATCTGCTCCCTGCCCCCACCCCAATTTGCACTTTAATTTGACCATCCCTGGGGACCTTCAGGAGAGGGCACCCGTCCTTGCTGTCCACAGCAGGGCTGGCTCTCTCTCCCTCTGTCTCTTCCACTCCAAAGTGGGCACAGTTCCCCCTCCCCTCGGCTGGGATCGGGGGTGCAGCTGGCCTGGCGGAGGAGGCGGTGGCCGCACAGAGAAGGCCTGACCGCTGCTCAGGCTAGCACAATGTCCCGCGACCTCTGTCCCTCGATTGTTTATAACCGCCGTCTGTTTCATTGTCCTGGGTAAGGAAGGCAAGAGCTGTGGGTGAAACTTTAATAATAATTCAATGTGAATGGGTTCTGAGCTCTGCCTGGGCCCCGGGCGGGCCGGGCCGAGCGTTTTGCACTAATGTCCCGCGGTGGACGTGGTCGGGAGCGTTTGCAGACGGGCATGGCTGATGATTGTATCTGCCGGGGCGCTCCCTCCGCGTCCAGAATGTTCCGCGGGGCGGGCGGCGGCGGGCCTGGGCTCGGAGGGGCCTTCCAGAGTGCCTTAGCATCTTTTGATCATTTTTCCCAAGGAAAACCCATTAAGAAAACCGGACCCTCCCCTCCTCTGTTTACAAGACGACTAATTCCTGTCCCGCAAGCGTGATCCCGACTCACCCTGACCCCGTAGACCGAGAGACGAGCCACTCAGTATTTATGAGATGTCTGCACCTTTATTCCTGAGCTTGACTATTAGCAATACGCATATACTACATAGAGTCTATTAGAGAGCTAAGTTATAGCAGCGCCTTTTGCAGGAGGAGAGAAGGGACTGGACCGCGTCGGAGTTGATGGGGGCGGCTGGCCTGGCGTCTGGCCGCCGCTCTGCCCTCTCCTGCCCTCCCTGGCGGGACGGGATGTGCCCCAGGAGGCAGCTGGGACAGAGTGCAAAAGGTCCAGGAGAAGGGACCGGGAGATGTGACAGATACTGTGAGCTGGGGCGGCCCCGCCCGCCCGGCCGGCGTGCCTCGGTACTTGAATTCTGTCTTGTGTTCTGCACTGTGTCTGGTGTCGCCCAGAGTTCTCTGTGGTTGCTTCACTTTGCATTTGACTCGGTTGTCTTATTTGCCCCTGAATGTGGATGCAGCTGTGGACGAGAGGCCGCGGGGAGAGACCTCCGGGTGCACAGCCTGCAGCCCCCACCCGGCCGTCGTGGTGCTGGGCCGGGGCTGCAGGAGCCTGGGTTCATTTCTCTGTGAAAACTCATTCTCCGGCGTCTGCGTCTAGAGCTGGGAGGAAGGCAGAGGTGGGGCCAGGGAGGCCAGGGAGCCTGACCGGTCCCCATTTCACGGCCGGCCCCAGCTGCTTACTGCTTAGATTCCCCTCAGACGGGTTATTTTTATGGAAATACCTTGCTGCAAGCGGAAAAAGGCCTATGGCCCATTAACCAACTGCCAACTCTGAGGAAAGCTCTGCTTGCCTCTCCAGCAGTCAATCCCAGAGCAGATTGAGAGTTCGTAGCTGCCTTGAGCTGTAACTACTGTTGCAGACGCGGCTGCTGCATCCATCCGTCACTGTGTCAGCCAGCCGCTCCCAGGGTGTCACCCGCCGGAGGCACACAATGTTTCTAACACGGCAAAGGTTTTTGGTTTTTGTTTGTTTGTTTGTTTGTTTTGTTTCTTTGAAAAAAAATGAAAAGGAAAATTATGCAGAATCTAACGCATTCAGATTGGACAACCTGCTTGAATTCTGATCAATCGCTTCATTGTAGCGTTTTGCACATGATTGTAATTTTTATGTCAAAAGAAGCCAAACTTGCAATACTATTTTTAGCAGACAAAAAAAAAAGAACTAAGTATAAAATGTATAAATATTTTTGACTTGAACATTTGGATGGCACTGGGTGCAAATAGACCATTCATCCTTTGGACGGAATGTTTGGGGAAAAGAGACTTTTAAAAAAAGGAGACGGTTGTTGTGAAGTCTGCTGAGCCGTCAGTAGTGCTGTAACTCACGACTGTTAGAAAATGAATACGCAAATTGTTCCTGTGCTGCATAAAGGAGAGTTGTCTCCCAAACCACTGAGTTCCATTTCAGCCACAGAAGATGCTCGCTTTTTTTCCTTTCGAAGAAGGAGGAACCTTTGTTCTTCCTGCGTCCTCACGCTCCCTCAATGCTGCTACTTGGCAGAGTCAAGACTGTTGCTTTTCAGCCACGGCTGACACCGTATCAATAACTCCAACAACAGAAACGTCCGCCAGCAACCGGGAAACCGAGGGCTTCTAGCGCGCTCAGAGCCGAGTCGTAGGGTGGAAATCCGTTATGTACAAACAAAAGGATGTGATCGTTAATTGTAAAGCGCTTTGTAAAATTCACATTTACAGAATAATAAAGTCAGTTCAAACCCACGTTGCCTGTGCTTTGCTGGGCTGGTGGGGTGGGGGGAGACATTGAGAAGCTGGGGGGAGGTGACAATGAACTGTCCCAGGAGCCCCGGGTAGGGTAAGGGGCCATGCCCAGGCTTCTGGCCCACTACCTCCCACTCCTCCTCCTCCTGTCCCTCACGAGGGAAGGGGCTGGTGGACAGGATGTCCTGGGAGTCATGTGCCTGGGGGAGGGCCCAGCCCGGAGTTCTGATTGATAGGGTGGGGGCAGGGCACTCTTTATTGTCTGTGAACTAGGAGAGATGCTTCCTGGGGCTCACCTGCCTGCCACCCACCAGCTGTGCAGCTGCCTCCCTTTCCTCCCCTGCCACCTCCTCCTGGGCCAGGTCTGCCCCCAGATGGATGGAGGGAGAATTGCAATGGGCGGGGCAGGTCACCAGGCCCAACTGAGAGCCCCTGGGACCAGGCCAGTCCACTCCAGCTCCCAGCCATCTCTGGAACCCCGGCCCCGGGCTGGGGTTCTCAGATGCAGGCCTGGCAGCCATTGCCCCCTTTGCTCCTCTGCTTTGTCCACAAGGACGTTTCTGAGCCCCACTGGACCCTGGCGGGCGGGCGGGCCAGGCTTTGCATCCATGTGTCCTTCAGATGTGGGTCAGGTCTCTGGCCTTCGCACGCGCTTCCCACACCCAGATACCTGCATGGTGGGCTCCTCACTTCCTTCTGTCCTGTGAGGGTCTCGTCCAGAGGGCCACCTCTGACCTGCTTCTAAAAGTGCTCCCCCCCCCCCCGACCCCTCCCTCTCTGCCTTTCTTGGCCTTGTAGCTGCTCTGCCCCCACTAGGAGGTGGGTTTATTTTCTCTCCTGTTTATGGCACCTCCCCAAGAGCGGGGTCCATCAAACTGCTTCATGAGATGTCCCCAGAAGGGGGTGCCCTGCAGGCACGGCCAGCATGGCGCAGACACAGAGTCTAAAATGGGTGGCGGTGGTTTCCAAACAGGCCTTCTGCACTGGGAACCTCCACAACAGTGGTTACGCTGGATTAGGGCCGCCCTGAGCCCTCCCCTCCTGCAGGGCCCACATCACACTTCCCCCCAGGAATGCCGAAGGAGCCTGGCCCCAGGCCTGGCCAGGAGCCCTGGGAGTGCCTGTCCCCACCCCGCTGCCAAGCCCAGCTCCAGCCACCAGGGTGAGCACATCTGTCAACTTCTGCTTCCAGTGTTGTTTTCAGAGCCACTCCCTGCCACCCCAGCCCGGCTCACCAGAGTCACCTCTGCCCCGTGCAAACCCCTTACCAGCCGGGGTCTCAAGGCCACTGGGCGCAGTGTATTTCCAGGTCACTCGCCTGGGTTGGTGGAGACATCCAACCTCTGGGCCACGGGCTGCACACGTGAAGGCCTCAAAGCACCATCGTGGCCTCCAAATGCCCCCTCCCAAGCTGAGCCCCGAACCCCCTCAGCAGCCGGGACAGCTGAGGCCTGTGGGGAGGGGGTTGTTGGGAGGAAGGTCCCACCAAATTCCTCTGGGATGGGCCGCCCAGCCCAGGCCCCTCCCGGTTGTCCAGGAAGACGGGAGCTGGGCACCTGCCAGCCTGTGCTCTGCCCCCTCCGGCCTCGTCCTTCAGCCGGACTCCTGCCCTTGCAGCCTCCGACAGAAACGGGCTGAGGCATCAGAACCTCTGCATCAGCCCGTTCATTCTGAGCCTCGGCCTCCTCTCCCTGCTTTGTCCTGTTCCGGGCGGACGGTGCAGTGTCAGCAGGACCGCCGGAGCCCTTTGTCCTCCGGCACAAAGGGTCAGAGCCCCTGGGGTGGGGGTGGGGTGGGTCCAGAGCCTGCAGGGGAGGGGCGCCTGCTGGACCAGCCATGTGGAGACTTGAGGGGGTGGGCCTGGCCAGCACAGGGGTGAGCGGGAGGTGGGAGGGTTGGGGGGGGGCCCATTGGCCACCTTCCCAGCTCCAGCCTGCAATTGACAAACCTTGAGTCACCTGTTCTTCACGACCCGAACTGGATGGGCACCCCCACTGGCTCCCCAGAGTGGGAGACTGAGGCTCCGTGGGGTGGGGAGTCGCCAGCCACCCCCACCCCGCGCTGAGCACCCCATGCCATGCTGGGAACAGCCCAGCTAGAATGAGATCGTGGCCTATTCCCTGTTGCGAAGGAGGCTTGGCATGAGTAGGTCATGGCTCTGTGTGAGGTCCATTCCATCAAGTGGCCCCAGGAGGGAGGGTCCACTGGGAAGTGGACACAGACACTTGTCAGGGCACTGCTGGGAGGTCTTCATCAGCAAAAGAAAGGAGAGCGGTGGGTGGGGGCAGCAGGTTAGGGCCCTGGTCAGGAAAGGAGGGAACGGGAAGGGGGATGGGGCCGCTGGCTTCTCTGCCAGAGGCACCCGGCTCCGAGGCCCCACACAGGTCTGGGCATACCAGGTGGGGGTGGGGACAGGCAGGAGGTGGATTTGGTGACAGTGTGTCAACAGGACTCCTGCTGTGACAGAGTGGAGGGGGCCTTCCACCCATGGGGAAGCATGAGGCCATCTCCCCCTCAGGTCCAGCTTCTAGGCCTCCCCTCAGGTGTCTGTGGCCAGTGGTGAGGGCTGGAGCTGGGAGGGGGCCCAGGAGCCTGTCAGAGTGGGGGTGGGGGATGCTCCAGGTGGCCCCAGGGGAAATGAGACCCCAAGAGCAGGACTGGACAGGGACCTCCAGCCCAGGTCTGTCCATCTCCTGGGCAGGCCGGGAGGAGGGCTGGAGCCGCCGTGGAAGGGCTTCCAACAGTCTGAGGGAGGCCTGTTCTGGGTGGACCAGGGGTGCAGTGGCTCCCCATGATCTGAGGTCCCACCCAGCCTCCTTGGGCCCCCTCTGCCAGGTGGGGCTCAGCTGCAAGATTGGGGTTTGGGGGCCTGGAGAGAGAGAAGAGTGTGGATGGAGTGGAGGACCCACGGTAGGCAACATTCTGGCCCAGGTGGCAAAGGTTCTCGAGTCTTGTCCACACTCCACCCCCACCCCACCTTGGGACACAGGCCTCGCTGAGCAGAGAGGCAGCCTCTGCCTCGGGGGAAGCTGGTCCCAGCCTCCTGGGACCCATAATTGACTAACAGCTCCAGACAGACGCCCAGGGCTGGGAGATGGATGGCGCTGCCTCGAGGGGAGGGATGCAGAGGCCCCAGTTTCCAGGAAAAGCAGCCTGGTTCTCCAGGGCTGGCCATCATGGGCAGGGAGGGGCGAGGCCTTGACCAGGGCCAGCCAGGCTGGGGCAGAGCCTATGTGTCCTGGGCTGGCTCTGGGCCTCGGTTTCTCCTCCAACAGGAGGGAGGGGCTGGCCCAGATGTGTGGCTCTGTCCTGGTTCCATCAGGTAAGGACACAGCAACCCCGGGGAGGAGCCAGCTGTGTTTGTCCCTCTGGCCTCCTGAGGTTGGGCATTCTGGAGAGCACGGGGCACCTCGTGCGGGGCTGCAGGGGCACCAGGAAGTGGCGCTCCCTGGCACAGGAAGTTCCAGGGTGCCCCACCCTGCTGCCCTAGATGGGCCGCACCTGCTTACAAGCTGCCCCCTCGGACCTCCAGCTCTGTGGCCTCCCCCTCCTGGGGGCCTTGGCCAGCCGTTATCCTGGAGTCGGGGCAGGGGCAGAGGTTCCCCCTCAAGGAAGGAGGCATGGCTCCCAACTGGAGGCTGCACTCCAGAGGGAGGCAGCGAGGGCACCAGTGCAGGGTGTTCAAAACAGGCCCCCGGGGTGGGATCCCTGGGCCCTCTGGGAACTGTCCATGGGGATGGGACAGGTGGAGAATTTGGACTCCGGTGGCCCAGTGGCCTGGGTCTCCATCCTGCACTGTCTCTGTCCAGCGCCCCATCATTCCCTCGGCCCACGGAGGGTACAGCCTGGGGCTGGGAGAAGATTTCCTGAACTGATGGATCCAGCAGCCCACGGACCCGGAAACGCCCAGGAATTCACACTCACGGCGCTCTCTGCAGACTGGGACCCTGGTTGCTCAACTGTCCCCTTCCTTCACCCATCTGGGCCCCTCCCTGGAGCCCAGTCCTCGACCCCTCGCTGACATCGCATTGAAAGGGCTCCAGCCTGGATGAGACCCCGGTTCCAGGTCAGGCTTGATGCCCTGAGGTGTGAGAGAGGGGCGCACGCCTGCCTGTCCCTGGGCCTCGGCTTCCCCCTCTGACCACAGCATCCAGAGCCCCATCTCCCATCTAAAGGGTGAAGGCTGCCAGGCTCTGGCCTCTGGTGGGGAACTGCACGTGGGGATGACACGCAGAATCACGGAACTCAGAGACTGCCGAGATCCCACACCGGGGACCTGGGGAGGATGGGGCTGGAGAGCATTTAAGAATGGCCCTGCCTTTGACCCCCTGTCCATGTGCCTCCTGGTTCCCGTGCTGCAGGCAACATTACCTCGGGCCTCATGAGTTTGGGGTGAACTTGACCCCACTGACCTCTGCTGACCTGCTGTCTGTGCGGGGCCTCACTGAAGTCCATCACAACTGTGTGAGGTAAGCCGATTGTAGCCCCATTTTTAAGATGGGGAAACTGAGGCTCAGAGAAATTTAGGGAGTGGCCAGGTCAGAGTTAGAAGGTGACAGAGCCAGGATTTGAACTGGGTCCCTGCTCAGCACTGACCTCACTGACCCTGGCCCTGGGCAGCACCCTGGCTGAGGGGAGCAAGTATCGCCAGGTTGACAGATCAGATGGGCTCAGCCAGGCCCAGCAGAGGGGTGCCACCACCAGGTGCCACCCGTCCAACTGCCTCGCCGGTCAGACCAGGGTGTGGACTGCCCGTGTCCCTCTCCCACCACAAGTGGCACCCTCGGCCCTCCCTCCGAGGACAGAAGAGAATGCAGCGCCTGGCCCGCCCCTCCGCAGGATGACACGAGGGGCCCTGTGGGGAAGGGGAGAGCAGCAGAAAAGAGCCCACGCTTGGCCACCTGTGAGGAGGATGAGGGGCCCAGAGCCGAAGACGCCTGTCCTGGGGGCCCACCTGAGGCTGCAGACAGGAGGGGGCAGGCCGCCTGGCTCAGCCTAGC